CAGACCAGGTGGCTCCAGGCACTGCAGTAAGAAATGCCCCTGGTGTATGAAGCAACACCAGAGAATCCCGACTACCAGCTTACAATGACGAGCACAGCTGGAGGGTGGCCCTCTACTCTTCCGGCCTGACTAGGTAGCCCTAGAGAGCGCTTCTATACCATTTTCTGAGGAGGCTGGTGACCAGCTTACACCAACCAGAATGTGTCCACACACAAAGGCCCTACTTGTTTCTGAAAGGCCTGTGCCCTCCCTGTCGCCCAGCAGGAAGCATAGCCCCTTCCGATCTGACTCTGCCCTTTTACACTCCCTGCCACCCCTGCCTCTGCCCACACTTGAACTGCTGTGCCCTACCCAGACGCTGAAAATATTTAAATGCTAGAAACTATCGCTTTGATTTAATTAGTCAGCCATTTGGTTTCCTATGGGTGACTAAGTTAAATGCTCCCTTCCGAGCCACACTAAAATGAGTCCATTAGGAAGAAATTAATCAAGACAGCTGGTTAGAGAATTCCGTTTATAGAAAGTATTTCAAGTTCACATTATCAAACTTTTTAATCATCCCTTCCCCACGCTAAGTCATACAAAAGCTGCAACCACAAAAGAAGCTTCTATCCAAAGCTATATTTAGATATGCCTAATGCTCTCTTCCTACTGGAATTAAGCAGAAAGAGACATACCAAGAAAAACAAATTAAGGTCGATAGTTTGAAGACACCCCCTCCAAATCCATCTTACAGCCCCCTCTCAGAAAAGCAGTATTAACACTTTGTGCTGAACGTTCAGACTTTTTCCAGCAACAGTAATTGTTTCTACTAACGTTAAACCATATTCAGGCTGGAGAGATGAGGTTCAGCGATTAAAAAGCACTGGCTGCTCTCGTAGAGAGTTCGGTTGCCAGCACCCACAGGGACTCCTGATGTCACCCACTCTCCACACCCATGGAGGAGTCTGCTTCTCAAGTATAGATCTCATCACCTGAAATCCGCCCCCCATTTTCAGTTATCACTTGAGAACCAACAAGATAAAGGCTGCACCGGATAGCACAGTTCATCAGCCAGTCCCCAGACTTGTGCGGTTCGCAGGCCCAGAACCCTCTAAGGAAGGGAAGGGCAGCCAGATCCACTTGAGGAGGGACCTTGTTACAATGCTGAAGAGTTTTGATGTAAGCCTTCCACCTATCCTTTGTCAGGGGGACCTATGGCCTTCACTAGGACAGCTGTACCTTAGGGGGGAGGGAAGAGATGGGACTTCGTGGGGCCCACTGCGCACTAACTAGACAGACATTGGCACTAGGACACACCAGAAAGAAAGCATCGTGGCCTCCTTAGAGGCTTGTGGAGGTCAGGCGACCAAAGGAGCTTTGGCAGAAGTCTAAGGTCACAGAGGGTCCAAGGGGTCCCAGACTCATCCTGTGGCTTTTCCCCAGTTCTAGGGTATAAAACTGGAATAGCTATATACTTAGAGCTGACAGATTTCCCACACTGGTTCCCTGACCTATAGAAAGGTCATAAGGAAGCCACTGGAGTGGCCTCTACCAGAGAAAACAGTAAGCCAAAACAGTATCACCTCTCTGAAGGAATTGCAGAACTTAAGGATGATACAGGGGTGGAGGTCCCCACCACATCTCCCTAAACTCTTCCATCTGGTCTGTGCAGGAGACAGATGGATCGTGGGGAATGACAGCTAACTGCCGAACACTTAACCCAGCAGTGACTCCGACGGCAGCAGCTAAACCAGATGTGGTGTCCTTGCTTGAATAGATCTGGAAACTGGGACACATCTTTGATCCAGCAAATGTTCTCTTTCTTGACAGCCATTAATTGGGACCACCGGAAGCAAATTGCCTTCAGTCCTGGGTCTTAATTTTATTTTTTATTTTATGTGTATAAGTGTTTCCCGGTATGTATGTATGTATGTATGTATGTATGTATGTATGTATGTACACAAGACCAGGAGAGGACACGGGAGCCCTGGAACTGGAGTTGCAGATGGCTGTTGCTACCTGGGCTCTCTACAAGAGAAGCCAGTGCTCGTGGCCACTGAACCATCTGCCCAATTTCAGTTTGAGGGGATCTTGGTTCACAAAAAACCATACTGGTCTACTATATTGATGACACTTTGCTGACTAGACCAAGTGAGCAGAAGGAAACAACCACTTTGGTAACATAAATGTGCATCAGAGGAGGGAGAATAAATCTAACAAAAACTCAGGGATTTTCTACCTTAGTGAAATTTCTCAGAGTCCAGGATGTAGGGCACGCAGGGATATCCCTAATATGAAGGACAAGTACTCAGACTTTCCCAGCACCAGGAAAATAGAGGAAGCTTAGTGGCCTATTTAGATTCTGAAAGCAGCAAATCCCTCACTTGGGTGTGTTACTCTGGCCCATATACCAAGTGACTCAGAAAACTTCTGGCCTTGAGGAGGACCCAGAGCATCAACAAGTCCAAGCTGCTGTTCAGGCTGCTCCACCATTTAGGTCATATGATCTAGGAGATCCAATGGTATTTGAGGTGGCAGTGGCAGACAGAGGTCCTTAAAGTGGCTGTGGCAGACAGGGATGCTATTTGGAGTCTCTAGCCAGCTCCTCTAGGTAATCACAGAGGAAACCATTGGGCCTTTTTATCAAGGCTCTATCACAATCTGCTGCTAAGCATTCTCCCTTCAAGAGGCAGCTCTTGGCCTGCTATCAGTCCTTAGTGGAAGCTGGATGTTGGACAATGAGCCACCAAATAACTCTGCAACCTGAACTGCCCGTCATGAGTTAGGTGTGATTTGATCCACCAAATCATGGAGATGGATTGCACCCTAAGCAGACACAATAAAGATGTGGGCAGCTGCCGAGAACTATGACCCTTTCCTGGGACAACCCTGAAGGGCACTGATGAAGAGGACCTCACAGTGGGCAGAATGCTAGGCGGTGCATATGATCACACATTTCGCAAGATACATAATTAAATGTTGATGCATGGGCTATCACCAATTGCCCAGCAGAATGCTTAGCGACTTGGAAGGAGTTACGATCTTAAAGAATCTTTCAACTGGTGAAGTCAAAAGTGATTATTTCTCAGCAAAGAAAGCGCTGATTTAGAAGTTACTTCTCACTTGGGAATGGTCTATCCTTTAGCATTCTACTTAGAAATTTATTTCAGGAATCATGATAGGAAACTAAAAACAACAATTACACTTCCTAAAACCTCAAATCTTTCCTAACACCAAAGAATGCATGGCTTTATCATCATCTGATTTATACAAGATTACAAAGCAAAAGTGCGATTTACTAACCACACGATTTAGATATGCAAAGCGTTTAACAGTCAGATCTAGCGTGGCTTGTTCCTGGTTCGTTGTCATCATGCAGTTAAGTGTGCATGGTTTCCAACTGATGACGAGTGACAAACTGTACCGAAGATCTAAGCACCTCAGCCTAGTGGACTTGGACTGTACTCTACCCAGCTACTGCAGAGCACACACTATGGGTGGCAGAAAAAGAGAGAATAAGGAGAATAAAGGAGCACAAAGGAATGCCAGGACATTCAGTATAGCAGTGAATTTCCAGCATTGTGGTTGAGAAAATGCCATGAATTCTTCAGCTCCCCAAAGTCGCTGTCAGTTTCAGAACTGAACCAACATCAAACTAACCACAGCTTCAGGACCCCTCAGAGGGCTCAAAGGAAGTCACCGAGCGTGAACCCTGCTGAATGAGAACCCCTAATGGGAAAAATAGCACCCAAGAAAATCATCATCAAACTGCAAACAGGCCTAAAAGATTTGTATTTTTTCTTTTTTTGACACATGTTACTGGCCGATGGTAGCTACAAAAAAACAAACCCTACCATAGCAAATACTGGGAGCTCAGGCCTCCTTGAATTTCTCAATACTTGTACCTGATATGTTTGTTTTTCTTGAGATTTCAAGAAACTATGTAGGGTTTCTATCCAATTCAGAGCAGGCATGATACCAATTACCAGAAACACGGGCTTAAAAGGGCATCAGCAGCTGTGCCCGCCAACTCAGCCCAGCAACACGGACAAAGAGTGGGGCAGACCGTCAGTCGCGGTGAGCATCCCAACAGACTTGTGGGTCTCTAGCTTCCTAAAGTGGCCTGGCTGGTTAAACGCCCTGTGTGAACACTGGAGAGCAATGAGGACACAGGGCTACCTGCAGCCACCTCGGCACAGCTGTGGTGATACAGCTGCATCTGTATCACCTTGTGCAATTTCACTTCAAGCCAAACACAACAGGAGGTGCGGGCAAGCAGCTCTGTGAGTCCAGCCACTCTCATCATCTCAGCACAATAAAAAAAATCTGCTGACTTTCATATGCAGAGCCCAGCACCCAGTCACACATTTTTATTACGCTAGGAGCTACACTCCTCCCCAGTCCCTGCACACAGTCAGCAAGCATGAAACTGGCATGAACCACTATTCCTGCAAAACCAAGACGACCTTCAAGCTGGTAGTGAAGAAACAGACCAAAGGTGGCAGAGGGCGCAGTGGGGGGCAGTTTCATGAGAGGAAAGTACACAGGGCACAAAAAAAAAAAATGCCTGGAACATGCACAGCCATCCGTACCAAGACAGTGGCTCAAGAAGGCGCCATCTCTGAGCCAGCACTGGGACCAGAACTAGAAGACCCCACATATCCTACGACATCAGAAACAAGATCTTCATCGTGAGGGACCTGCCCTGCCAGGGAAGAGCTCGAGTTTGGCAAAAAATAAGGCTGGGAGGGCAAAGAATACTTTGTTGCATTTTCATTGTAAAAGTTGCTGGGTAAAAACTCTAAAAGTAAGTGTTAAACCCCCAGTGGCAGGAGAGTCATTACTGTCTGGCACTGGGCAGTGAGGGTCTTCATGTCTGTTGTGACACAGATCAAAAGAGAGCTGGGTGGCCTGTGTGACTTTCCACCTATGTCTCTAGCACAGAACGGAAGGGCTCCCCCTGCCGCTCTCATCCTGGAAAACTGCCTCTAGAGCAGACTGCCCAGCCGTGAACTCACTCTGTCTTTGTCGTCAGCAACATCACAGAGGATGTCATCCAGGTCTAGAATGCCTCCGTCTCCGTGCTCCAAGCGATGCACCTGTATCCAGTAGTTTGGATCCTGGACAAAAGAACCGAAATGTCAAATACGTTAGCATCACAGAAAGGGAATTCAACAATTTAAACTCTAATAACTTCCTGACCATTAAAGGAAATATAAATAAAATTACAACCAATTAAAACTTCAGGCAGGGCTCAACGCATGGTAGAATCAGTCCTCCTCTTCCTCTATGATTAGGTCACTCACATATACTCTTCACCTTGGCCCCATGTCAATATTGTAACAGAGAAACCACAGTCTCAGAAACACTGACTTTTCTTAAGTAGATCAGACTTCCCATTGTCTGAGATACAAACTAGGCAAGAACCCCCGACAAAGCAATCTATAGAAACACTTGATTAAACAGCACACATTCTACATCCGAAATGGCACATATTTGTTAATCTACAACTAGCATATTGCATGTACCAGAGAGGCAATGTGCTCCTCTCAAACAGGCCTGAATAAATGGACAGAGAAGCTGATCAGCCAGCACACGGACCAAGAAGGCTGTGTTGGGAGCCTATGCTCCAAAAGATCAAGCCTGGCCCACATAATGAATTATTTAATGTAACCCATTAAAGATGCCGGGTCTGTAGCTCAAAAGTGATGGAGAGAAAGGAGAAAAAAGATACCACTTAAAACTTTGAAATGTTAGCCAGGCAGTGGTGGCACACGTCTTTAATCCCAGCACTTGAGAGGCAGAGGCAGGTGGGTTTCTGTCCATTTGAGGCCAGCCTGATCTACAAAGTGAGCTCTTTTCCAACACCTCCCTTTCCCAGCCCACCAATGTAGGCCACACCCAGCCCTAGCATCTCCATCCAGGACTCCTACCTTCTCCAGGTTCCCCTGTCTACCTGCTATGTCCTCTTGGATCTCACTCTGTCCACGAGATCTACCTGACCATCATGCCCCAGGACAGACAAAAAGTCTCTGTCAAGCCTACCACCAATAATCCTACGCCCACACACAGGAGTAGCCAAGATGTTACATTTGAGGTTTCAATAGCCGTTTCAGAATGATCTGCTTTTACAAGTGCTAAACACATAGTTCTCATCCTCTAATTGATAAATCAATTCTGCAATCATCGTAACCACAAATGTTTTTAAAGAATTATTGAGAAAAGAGGAGGGCTCAGTCAGTGGGATGCTCTTAAGAACTTAAGTTTGATGCCCAGAACCAGGTAAAAAGCACATGTCTTCCAATCAAAATGCAGAGTTGTGAAGTCCAGTTACAACAGATACATCTACAAAACATTTGCAGACCTAAGGCAAGGGGAACATTGCCAAAGAGGGAGTGGAAAGATTGTAAGAGTCAGAGGATCAGGAAGCTTGCTGTGAGACTATTATCTCCTAGCAATGTCAAAAGCTATGTCCATAAAGGCACAACTACATGAGTGCCCAAACAGGAGCTGAGCAAGGAGGACTCCAGTGGATATGCCAGAGTGGACAAGGACATGGGGCCCCAACCCTAAACAAAGAACTATAGTCAACCAAGGACAGTTGGGAGTGAGAGAGATGTTCTTCCTCAGGGTTTAGCACATCAATTATTAGCCACTACCAAATGATTAGCACTGAAAGCATACATACACGTAACATGTTTCCTGAACAGGTTATATTCAGAACATACATGTATACATACAGTAACAACTATACATGTGCAATAACAATTAATGAAAAAGGTCATTGAAGGGGAGGTGGAAAGGCTATATAAGAGACTTTAGAGGGAGAAAAGGGAAAAGAGAAATGTTATAATTGCATTATATTCTCTAAAAAATGTTTTTAAAATAATCATAAAAAAGGAGGAAGGGTAATTGATGTTATCCATCCCAAAATTCAAGAATATCCTCTACAAATGTGGTATATATAAAAATACCTTTAAGAAATCATACAGTTGTCAAAATAGTGCACACACATATTAACTGGGTAAATACAGCAATGTTATACATATACAGCGTCTTTTAAAAACATAGTGTGTGGTGGTACATGCTTCTAATCCCAGCACCGGCATCAGGAAGACTAGGGATTCCTGGGGCTATGAAGCCAGCTAGCCAGTCTAGCCTAGATAGTGAATTGCGAGTCAATGAGCAACCCTGGCTCAAAGCGTATGGACAGCATTTCTAAGAACAACATGTGGGGTTCCTCCTCCCTTCAAATACATATATGGTACATGCACAGGCACGGGAACATTCACATGCCTTCAGGTACACACATAAATATTTTTTAAATAATCAATATGTTTTTTGCTTCAGTCTTCTCTCCCACAATCCCAAAGCACTCAGGCATCCTCCCACCACACTCCAAAAACTGCTCATCAAGTCAGCAGCAGCTTCTGCAGGGCTACACGCAACTGGTTTTTCCTCAGTCCTTGGTCTGCAAGCAAAATCTGACACTGCCAGTCACTGTCTCTTCTCTGAAAAATCCCATAAAATTTTTGCATTCTTCAACAACTGACAAGGCTTTCTGAACTTGAGACTTGTGAACTGCACATCAGGAGGGGCCCTGATTCAGTCAGACACGCCACATGGTTATGACAGGTATCTGACTGTTATGAGCACCTAACAGCCAGAATGAATGAAAGCTAACAAGAATAAAGCCCTGGTTCCATCCCCAGCACCACATAAAAGCAGGTGTGGTGGCGCATGCCTATAATCCCAGGACTTCTGACGTGGAGGTAGAAAGACGAGAAAAAGGAGAGCATGTATGTGGTGGCATGCTTGGCATGCTTGTGTAGAACTGCAGCTGGGGGTGCACAGATATGAGACCCATTGGTCAGCAGGTATAGCTGAATGGAGGAAATCAGTGTTCACTGGAAAAAAGAAGAGGAGAGTGGATTGAAACATGATACCTAAAGTCAACTCTGGCCTCCACAGGCACAGACATATATCTGTATGTGTCCTCACATACACAGGAGCATACACCCCAGGAACAAGCAAACACAACACTGTGAATGTGTGCATTTGTGCGTGCTTGCATGTATGCATGTTATAGGATAAAATTGTAGCTTGTCTCCTTCCACCATGTGGGCTCCAGGGACCAAACTTAGATAGTCAGGACTTATCAACAGTCCAACATGCACAAATCTTTAAAAAAAATTAAAAAAGAAAAACAAAAGCATCAGCAAGCAGCAGATGACAGTATTCCAGTAGCTTCCCTCAAGAAACCCTCTATCGTGGAAATCCCTGCCTTGTCTACTTGTAAAACTTAAAAGATAAGAAAAAATATTCAGAAATGTAACCTTTACTGTACCTGTCTCTGGAAGGTATTAAAGATGTGTTCCCACAAAAGAAGGAATAAGCTATAAACAAGAATGGCATGACTTATGAAGCAGACCGTGTGAGGAAAGAGAACTCCCTGAACTACAGAGATCACTGGGACACTCACCCCGAATAGTGACAATAACCCAGAAAGCTGCTGGCGGCAGACATGCCCCCACTAAGAATGAAGCCACCAGGATCTCCGAGTGAAATGTTTTGGGATGCTGTGGAAAGAACATTCAAAGCACCCAAACCAACCAAGACCACCTTCTAGCGGATAGGGCTGGGGCAGGGTTAGGAGTCAGAGAACAGAAGGCTTCAGGGGCAGCTCAAGAATGGAAAGAGGGCTGTGCAGATCAGCTACAAGCAGCACTCCACCAGGAAGAGTAACTTACCTAACCAAGCCCCAACTAAATCTAGTGGAAAGCAGTCTGTTAATAAGAACATGTGTATGAGAGGGAAACACACCCATACCAAGACTGGCTCTCTGAGATGGAGGAAAAGGGAAACATACACTGGGCAAGGGGCAGGGTCAACCAACAAAATAGTGAGAATATATTTTAAAAAAAAAAGAATCAAGAAGAATAGAGGCAATTTACACAGAAATATGCTAGTAGATTCCAAATGAATGGATTTTAAGTCAGAGAGGGCAGGATTCACTCATTGCCATACTTGGAGTACCGTATGTATGCATGTATATTAAGAAACAAAAAATTTGAGAATTTCTCTTCAATGACAACAGACAACTGCTTAATACTAAGCATACATTTAACCAATTAACCATAAGGTAATTATACTAAGATAATAAAGTCACTGTTGCTAATGACAGAACAAGGAGAAAACAACTCACTTTTGAAAGCTGGTAGAACCAATCAAAGGAAATAGTCTTCATTCTTGGCAGTGCTGTAAGTATGTATCTAAGTGTACCACTAGCCAGTGCTATAGCAATGTATCTATATAAGCCTAGGCAGTGCTGTAACTATGTATCTAAGTGTACCACTAGCCAGTGCTATAACAATGTATCTATATAAGCCTAGGCAGTGCTGTAACTATGTATCTAAGTGTGCCACTAGACAGTGCTATAGCAATGTATCTATATAAGCCACGAGGCAGTGCTGTAACTATGTATCTAAGTGTGCCACCAGACAGAGTTATAATGATGCATCTATGTAAGCCACTAGGCAGTGGCGTAATTATGTGTCTATGAGAGCCACAACAGACAGTTAAACATGGGGTCTGTTGGGGGGGGGGGATTTAATGAAACATTAGCATTTCAAGACAGGATGTGGCTTTGCCTGATTTAACCACATTTGCACTTCAGAAATGCATGCCTTTAGCATAAACTTAAAGAACTAGTTTATCTGTTTGCTGTGGTAACTCAGTTAAAGAGTAAATACGCTTTTGTTGCCTTCTCAGCGGGGGTGGAGGACATGGATGGTCAGATGTCATGTCTGACATCCAACAATGAAAAGATCTGCATTCTTGTTGGGGAGTGACTAATACTGAATGCATGCACTCCTCGGGCCCAATACTCAACCCCAAGCCACACCCATGCTAAAGCCTCAGCACAGGCCCAGCACACAAGAGAACCACAAATCTCTTGCCACACAGGAGAGTGGATGCAGTCTTGTCTCTCACTAATCAAAAAGGAAAGAGGCAACAGGGAGGGAAGGCAAATTCCAAGTTCACAAAAATAACTTTGCATGTCTTGTTCCTTTAGAACCAGGCAGTCTCTCACAGGGCACAGGGATGAAGCTGTCA